ACAAGCAAACAGTTGATCAAATGATTCCCCTCTCACATTCAAAGAATTAGAAGGACTCGCTTTCATCTTAATGAGACGGAGTTATAAATGCAAGTATTTTGCCACAGTGAAGCACTGGAAGGGTCACAGGAGCATGAAACAAATGAAGCAATTGTATAATTATGCAAGGATTGAGACTTGAACCCCTGAACCTGAGGTCAGCTTCAGATAGTCATTATTCTACATTAATCTTTGCCCCTCTCTGAAAAGAGAGAGCCAAGATTTGATTAGCTATTCAGAAAATATTGTTTAGCTTTCTAATCATAGCTTTAGTGAATTTCTGAATTTGTAATTCACCCTGGCACAGCAGCACCTGCAGACCAAAAGTCCAGGGTCTCCATATTTTTATTCTCAGCACATGTTTTAAAACTCAAATTAATTCTCATAAATGCTGCAAACTATTTTTCTATGATGCGCCTCCATTTCACCAGTCAAGTGAAACTGGAAACCTCACAGTTACAAGTACAAACATCCATAAAAGCCTAACGCAGAAATACTGGCAGGTGCTGGGCCGGTATTACAGTAATGCTGGTTAAAACTATTCCATTTATGACATAACTGGCATTAAATTACAGTATTTAATAACTTCCACTCACTATCAGTACTCTATTTTACAAGCAATGCAGTATCTAAATATTTCATTTCCATGTGTCTTAACTTAAATGTGCAGTAAGTGTAACTCTGTGGTTCTGTCAGTGAACGTGTATATTTTTATTTCCATTTCTTTATGTGGGTAAAAATTCGACTGCTGCTCCCACACAGGTGACATAGATCTCGCTGTGGGTCCCTTCTCTCAGCTCGCTGTGGACTTGTTACTCTGATAGTGAGACCAAGGAAGGCGATGCCATGTTGCTTAAAAAGCTGAGAGAAGTGGTTAGAGAAGGAAGAAAACTACAGTGACCTTTAAACCTCAGCTCAGGGTCAGATGCTTTTCCTTGCAGGTTACAGGTTAGAGCCTAATCACATCATCAGTGCTGTGAGAGCTCAGTGGAATGTGACAACAGTGTAGGAGAAAATGTTCTTCGCAATCATTATCTTCACTCCCCCCTCCCGGAAAAAACATATTTTTTTGACCCAGGAGGATTTCAGTGTTTGTTAGTCTTGCCTTGTGTGCGTTATAGCAAGAGAAAGATGTTTTTGTTGTACAGTACACTCTAATATGCTCCTTCTGTCCATACCCTCGAGCTCTATCTGCAGCAGGTTCGTGTCTTGGCAACCACATACAATTACAGTAGCAGGGGGTCTGTGAAGCAGTGAGACCTGAACTGTGGGAGCTGAGATTTTATAACGGGAAGCCTTTGCTGTTCTTGGGTGTCATCAGGTTGGACTTTGCTGTCCATGCAACCACGTGTAGTAGTCAGTCCTCGTTGGTTATTTTTTTGTAGGACTATCTTTGCCAACAAGGATGTACTTTGTTTGGAAAACAACCACCTTCCTGCTTATATTGACACCAGCCGTGCTTGTGAGAAGATGCTATTGATTTAAGAGTGTATCAAAGTACCCATGTTAATCTACTGTGTTTACTAAAAAAAGATTTTATTCAATTCACAAAGTATGTGAAAAAAAGAGAAAAACTTCAGCACTTACTGTCCCTTCCCTCAGGTAGTCCCCCCCAGGATGTATCTCTAATGTACCATGACAACCTGTTATGCTCGACTCTACACGCCTGCAGCCAAACAGAAGGGTTCATTCCCCACCAGTGATCAGCAGCGAGCGGGCATCTGGGTGCGTCTCCCGCTGAATGAGTGTACCGCTACAGCAGCAACACGACAATACACACGTATGCATAATTAGGCGTCAGCATGCATGTGTTTATTAAATGGGCGCATATGTAAGTGTGTACTCGGGTGCTTCGGCTGAGGGCTTACTTGTCTCATACACGGGGATAAAGGCAGCGGTGCAGTGATGAGCTCCTAATCTGAGTGCATGTGATTGGTCCGGTGAGGCTGGAGAGATATGAGCGTTTGACTTGTTAAAAGGGATGTTCTTCACTTGGAGCTTCGTTGGCCCTGACATAACTGGGACATAATTCTCCTTGTCAAAACTAATAATCAATTCCCACTATGAGGATAATCTGACAGTAGACCCCCAGTGAGCGTGACGCAAGCTGTCCTCACTTCCCCATATATTATTAACAGCCACAACGGTTACCAGTAGCAACTGAGATAACCCCATGTAGCCCCTCTCCACAAGTCAGTAAACACTTGACAATGGGACTGATCTTCACTGTGGGCTTTGATGCTGGAGTTTGACGCTAATGACCAATAATACAGAGCGCCAGAGAGACTGCCTGTTTCTGCAAATTTGGCTAAAAATAAGGAAGTGTTCATTCCTCCGGGCTTTGTATGTGTGTCCAGACTAAATGACCTCTGAAGGTTTTGACTTATATCAGAACACTAGCCGTTCTTTTTATATGTTATTATGTTTTTTTGGATTTTTTTTTTGGGTGGATATATAACCTGTGTATGGTACAGTGACAGCAGGTGTCCCCCAGGGGGTGGCAAGATGAGCAACATCGTTCCTCAACTGGATGGAACATTAATAACATGAGGACCTGGGGAGAAAGCTCCATCTGGGCCAGGCTGGTGCAATGCTGAAGGGACAGGCCACTGACTCCACAAGTCTATAATCCCTCACATAGTGCACTGGAAGCCCGCTGGGGCAAGTTGACAAACACGCAACTTTTCCAGATAATCGACACCCTTGAACGAAGTGACCTCCTCCTTCCAGTGTCACACTTGAAAAAGAAATAAAAAGCTCAATTTAATGGTGTTTGTTTGTCAGAACCTGACACTTTTGACTGCAAATGAGCTCTCATGAATAATCACATAATTATTTTGCGTGCCCTTCAGCCTTATTCCCTGGTAGGTGTTAAATAAATAACACTGAGCCGGATTCACTTTCAAGCAGGTGAAAATTATCCAAGTAGGGAGGCGAGGCAAGATAAAGGAAGTAAAATTATTAAAAGGTCAGGTCACTACCACTCAAAAGGGGCAGCGATGCTCAATATTGTAGCAGTGCAGCTCAGTGACTTGTCATTTCCATTTTTTATCACCACCTCTTCTGTAAGTGCTTGTTAATCAATACACTAACAACAAGGATTCTCTCACTGTGGGAGCTTGAAGCACAGAAGCATGAAGTGTTTACACCAGCCCCTCTTCTTCACCCCGGTGTCTCAGTCTGTACTTTTTAAAAAATACAAAAATTATATCTTTGTCCAGCTTTGGTGGAAAACTTCTTTGGATTTCCTCATCTCGGTGTAAAAAAAACAAACAACTACTACAAAAAACCTCCCCCAAAAACCTGAGGTTGTATTCACATTTTACACTGCATTCAGCTAACATTTTTTATCTTAATGTCCAGGGTGTAATTTGTAGTTGCCGATAACGAAAGGTCTCAGTCTGACATTAAGGTTTTCAGGTATTGTACGCTGCTGGCCTTGGATAGGAAAAAAAGGGAAAGAATCTTCATTAATATAAAATGATTGCCTTGTCTGCTAGATGCTGCAGAGGAGTGGCTCCATTTCATATCCAAAGATCTTTCTGAGTTTCAGCTGTGGCTGACTAATCTTGTGAGGCCCACTGTCCATGCCTGTCTGGCCCCCCTTTGTAATTTAATGAAGATATTTTGGTGTCACTTCTTTGCGGGAGGGCAGACACATGACTTTGATCGTAAATAAAGGTGAATGTTAAAAGATCAAAACTGAGGAGCCACAAATGAGCTGCGTTGAATTAAGGGGCATCACAGTTCTGTCTCAGCAGACTTGTGATTTCCTGTCAGCTTTTTCCCCCTTTTTCTCTCCATGGAGCTGCCGATGCCTGATTGTTTTTCTCGACTGAGGTAATTCAAGTGCACTAGCCTGGAGCTTCCCTGACTTCTGTTTATTAGTCATTCATTTCTGAGATGCCTTGGGCAATGCGATCTGCAAATTTCTCTCCATTTAGGAGTTCTGCAGGCCAACTGGATCATCGTCCAGATGCCCAGCAGCACTGCACTACTGGGTTCTTAATAGTTAAACTTAGTTTTGTCATTTGAGAGTGGAGAAATTGTGTTTGAATATACTGTATGCCTTCATCTGAAGTGCTTATTAAAGCCTGAGTCAGACTTGAGATGGTAAATCTCACATTTGAAACGACTTTTGTATGTATAAGTAAAGTTCAGTAACAGAAGCTTTCTTAAGTAATAATAGCAAGTTCTCACAATTAAAAAAAATATGTAGAAACTGTATATTTATCCTTTTACTTCAGCAAAAATGCAGAACTTTAATCAGTCAGTCATCCACCTCCTCTTATGTGGTCTAGCATAAAGTAGTGGATTTATATCTAAAGTTCAATTTTTATATGAAATTTGTAACTTTTAATGTGATATAATTCTGCAAACTAAATTTGTTAATCTCCTAATTTGGCTGATACTGACTGTGGCATTTTTACTTTTTGAACAAAAAAATCTTCACCAGAGAATAATGTGAGTACCACAAATATGTTGCTGCAAAATGAAGCAGATCCTGTCAGCTAGGCGAGGCAGGCGACCTGAGCTGCACTATGTCATGCACATTAACCTCACTCTTTTCGTGCCAAATCCCCCAAATTGGCAGTCTAATCAAGCCCCAGAATTTTCCTGTCGCTCCCTCTGACGCGTCAGTGCTGCACCTGCCCTGCATTGCATCCTGCTCTTTCAACCCCAGCATCCACCTGTTGGCTAAGGGGTTTGTTTACTCTTCACTCTCTATTTGCATCATATTTGTTATCTTCCCCTGTAAGAAAGCAGTCGTTTCAAACGTGAGCTGTCTGACTGAAATGCCACACATGTAGGACACATGCTCTCTGTACTGTCTCTGGATGTCATTTATACTGGGAGAGCGCAGGTAGTAGTATATCTGCTAGAACAGGTATCAGACGGACAAGGACTGTCTCTCAGAGGAGCATTTATAGATAAGTTTAAAACACGTTAGATGTTCTCACCATCCACACAGGAGGGTTTGTTGCGTGTCGTTCCGGCCACTTTCCCCGGTAAACAGGAGCACTTGACTGTCTGAGAGCGCTCCTCGATACGATTCTTGTTACAGCATCGGTGGGCAGCAATCACCTCGCACGTACCACCCTCTGGAGAGAGATTGAAAAGACACCCTGTCAGTAAATGTGAGATGTTAATAAGAAACGTTTAACAGTAAACTATCTGAAGCAACCATGTAATAAGTGTCCTTAACTCACTGCAGTTTGAACTTGAAATCACAAACGAGCAACAACAACGCAGATAAAAGATGGACATCCTGTATAGGGAGCTGCAATACAATCACTGGGTACTTCTACCATAAGTATATGAAGCAAATTAGCCCTCAAGGCATCTCAATAACGCCATCTAATTGCCTCTTACTTGGTGCTGACTGTTCTCACTTCATACCAATCAGCACATGATTGACTCTGATGCCAATACAATAATAGGCAATAGTACACTAAAGCAATAACTCCAAAGTATAGGTGACATCAGTCGTGACAACTGCTGAACAATAGGTCCCAGTCTGACAAAGGGGTATGTCTGTGGAAAGCGAAGGTGATAAGCACATATAGCAATAGTAGGCCAAAATAACAATAGGGAGGGTGAGGGGGTGATGGAGCTGAGGGACATCCTAAAATGAGTGAGACAGACAGAAAGAGAAAGCTAGAGGACAAGGTGTGTCTGGATACCAGGGACTTGGCATACCGGTGAGTAATGAGAGAGCCACTGGAAGTGCCCCCTTCACACAATTATAAAGCGTGGGGCTAATGCAGCCAGCAGAGCTGCAGGAGAGAGGCCCTCTATCACTGCTCTCCCTTTTCCTTACGCCCCAGGAAAAACTCTTTATCTTCTTTTGACAGGCACCACAACAGACACCAGCGTCCAGCAATTAAACTGGAGCTCATCCCAGGACAAGGGGAGAGGAGAGGAGAGTTTAACTTATTCTCTCCAATATCCAGAATAGAACAGATAGAGTGCAGAAAGAGAGGGAGACAACCAAATGCCACGTTTAATCTTGTCTGTGCATTATTTTTGTGGCGATATGGCTTTTTAAAGAGGACATCCTGCTGTGCTCAGACGATGCACTTGCTTCTGCTGGCATGACAATCAACGGTGTGTGCGTGTCTCTGGCCGGGCTGGTTGTGCAAATGTTTGAAATGGCTCGGGTCATGAATTACAGAACTGAGTTCCCAGCAGCCTAGACAAGTTTGGCAACAGTTTTCTTCTCCCATTCCCATCAATGTCTGCCTCGGCCAGACCAAAGGCCGATGAGATCTGGATTAAAAGGCAAACATTTGCAATCCTGCTGGACCGCGCTGTCGTGCAGAATTAATGTCACTCTCTCCGTGCTTGTTGTCTTGATATTTCTAGGCAGGAGGAAGCAGAACACAGACTATAAAAGTGAGGAGAACAATCCCTCGAGTCTGCTAAAACCCCAATCCTCACAATGTGTTGCCTTGTTGAATATTTTAGCGAGAGTTTCCTGACCTGCGGACTTACTTTTAAGTCAAAGCAGATCGCTAGACAAGAGAGGATTTAATGTTGCATCATAGAATATTGAATTGGCCTGAATCCCCACACCAATAATACGATACATGATCTGCAGGTTAGCGCTACCAGACTTCCAATGGAAAACCTCTGACAAGGTACTACCAAAGTAAACCCTAACATATTTGCATCTGTTATTTGAATGTGATGAGAATGATCTTGATCTGTGTCGCTGGACTTAGTTGTTCAGTGGAAGTAGAGTTAAAATTCATTGTTTCTCCACTTTGTGATTCTGTTAGGTAAGAAAATGGACCACTTATCCCAAATGGTAATACAGTTTCATTTAATCATGGAAGGGTGTAACTCAACCCCCGCCCAAAAAAACCAAACCAATACAAAACAAACAAACAAACAAGGTGAGGTAATGTTAGGATTAACTCTGGGTTTTCAGTATCATGTAGCTGGTTTACTTTACATCGCCATGGTAACTTGTGCTCTGCTCCAGCACAGATTAGGGATTAACAGGTCCAAAATCCCAACCTAAGGACTAAACAGTTCTTTAGAAAACAACGGCATCATCATTCCCGGAAGATCAATCCTAGCAAGAAGGTCTAAAGGATCTACAGTTTTTTTCTTCCCTGATGAGGATCAGTAATAAATACAGATTATTAGCAGGAACTCTATTCCCTGTGCATGTGTGAAAGGTTTTTTTCATGTTGACTTAATGTATGATCCTAAAACAGAAGTATTTTTACTTTTCGTCCTTAATTTAAATTTGCACGTAGATCCTACCCTTGAATTCTGTTTTTATAGATTATTTAGTCTTTACTTTCTCTCAGGCTGTTCAACATCACTGCAGCTGAAAGAATAAGAACTAAATCTGTAGGCCTATTATGCAGAATGGAATAACAATTTTAATCTGTAAAATTCAATCTGATAACCACCTTTTTGTGTCTGCTTATCCCAACTGCCAAGTGAAGCCAAATGAAAGACATCCTGTTGATGTTGAACTTTGCTTTTGTACAAGTTACAGTTCAGCTTAGGAAGTCAGCAGCAGCAGAGATTAAGTCGCATAATGAGATCATGAAGGCAGCTTTTATACAAATGGAATGTATATATAGTTATAGAGTATTTAAAAGTAGAATGGGAGGGAGAGCCTTCAGTTTTCAGGCCCCTCTTCTGTGGAACCAGCTTCCCGTTTGGATTCGGGAGACAGACACTATCTCTACTTTTAAGATTAGGCTTAAAACTTTCCTTTTTGCTAAAGCATATAGTTAGGGCTGGACCAGGTGACCCTGAATGTCCTGAAAAGCACCTTGAGGCGACTGTTGTTGTGATTTGGCGCTATACAAATAAAATTGAATTGAATTGAATATGGTTACTATTTAGCTGACTAAACAGACAGAGTGCCAATGAACCAGCAATTCTGGTCATAGATTTAAAAAAAACAGCTGGACGTGAACTGTTGCAGAGTGCCAATCTAAATGTTGTAAGCTGTCTTTGTAGACTTTAAACTGTCATACCCATGCAAGTCAGCTATAAACATACATACTTGGTTTTGAATGACCAATGAGGAAGTGCTGTATGATCATATTTTTACATTTTGTCTTTGGGATTGTTTAGAAAAGTCCAGCCCTGGACAGATGTTGGAAAGAATCATCTTGACAGCTGTTTCACCATGAGGGGAGGATGCATTAGAAACTTTTGCCCAATTAATTAGTTGATGAATTTTGAAGATATGTTAACTCAGATAAAAATCTGAGCATTATCAATTGCTTGTAATAGAAATCCATAGTGTAGTATATAACAGGCTTTTGGCTCTCACAGTTGTTTTGCACCTTCAGTAAAATAAATTAAAAAGTAATTGTTGTCTGGAAGGACAGTGCATTACTTTGATTTTTTCTTAATGCGGTACATAAAATATAGTATGACTGACAAAATTACCAGCAATACAGCGAAGGCATTTGATTGACAAAGCAAAGCAAAACAAAAAGGAAAGCAGACAAAAACAAAATGAAAACAACTGATGTTGGTGGAATATGGCTGTGTGTTTTAGACCTGTGAAAGAACATAAGACATTTAGTGTTTTATCTTTACCATATTCATTTCTAAGAGAACAGACTGAACAAACATCCCTAACATGCACACAAGCATGTTTTGGTGCGATTCCCAGCAGCATGATCGCGATGAAGCATCTGGTATGTGGAGGAAAGAGCAGCTTCATTACTCTTCTGGGCCAGTCACTAGTGCCACTTAGACAACAAATGGCCATTTGGACAAGCCATATTGCCATTCAGGTAACTAAGAGCTCAGAGTGAGGTTAACGACCATCTATTATCGTCACATAAATTTGGTGGTTTGTGTCTCAATGCATATATTGTGTGGTATTTCATAACAGATTTATTCTGCTCACGTGCACAGTAGTAATCAGTGTGTGTTCTGGTGCAATGTGGGATCAGAACAGCTTAAGACTGTGGTTGTGATGGATGCAGTGCTTGGAGCCTGTCAGGCAACTAAAGGGGTTAAAACAAACTGCAAAGATGGAGTGGGTGACGGTGCACTCTAGCCTTTGGTGAAGGAAGGTGAAGAGTATCGATGGGACCATTGACCGGTCATTTTTCTCTCGGCAGCCTACAGTGACAGCAGTCATTAAATGAGTGGATGAGGTGATTATGCTTAAGGAAATCAATGCTTCATTGTTTTCAGCTTAGCCCAATGGCCAATTAGGAGGTGTTAATGAAGGAAGGCTGTAAAAAGTAGAGATATATATGAGAAGTAGGAATGAGAGTGCAAGATAGGAAGGCATAGATCATATCAGATATTTCCTCTGGTTATCAAAGTTTATGTTTGTGGAAACCACTCTGAACTTAACTATAAAATAACTTTTTACAGATATACAGTATGAATGCACCAAGTTAGTACATCAGATATTCTTTTCAGCGAGAAGCTATAGTTTAGAGATTGACTCCTACTGTGTATTCTGTGTTATAAGTCATGAGCAGCCTTAATGCTTCTAAAATAACTAATGTCTTTAAGACTATATTGGAGTATGGTGTTTAGTGTTAATCAAGCCTAAACCTTTTCATTAGTCTGGTTTAACCTGAGTTTCTAATGCTTGTGTAATGTTACAGTGCCAGAAATAATCCACAAGTAAAAACCGGTCAAAACTGACTCCCTGTTTACTTTCTGCAGAAATGGACTGTGGGTTGCATCATCTGTCAAGCAGCATAAAATTACTCCTGTCACAGATGAAGACCTCAAGCTTACTGCTGGAGGAAATAATTTTTACTATCTCATATCGTCTGTTATGAGATATTGTAATTATTTCCCTGATGGACGAATTAATAATTGGGGATTATAAGTTGTACTTTATTAGTTATATTTCATGTTCAATTTCAGAAGAGAAAAGACTTTAAGGATGGGTACTCTCTTCTAAAAACAGATGGTTTAGAGGGCGCATGGCTGTCTGATATAAGCCAAAAAAGACATATAAATCAATCACATTTTGTTATCTTAGGCTGAATGGTAATAAATTATTTAATGGTATAAATCTAGGTATTTTTCTACCAAGTAGAGTTTTTTTGTCCATTTTGGTGGGAACTCAAAGCCATATGTGAGA